ATATATATATATATATATATATATATATAAACACATGCACGACATATATATATCTATTCCACACCTAGTAATCTTAATGCAATCAAAGAGAAATAAAGCATCCACTATTAAAATGCTCTAATTTGCTTAACAAAGTTATCATACTAGTTAATGGGGAGCGTAAATGCCATCGGCCAGAAGCAGTAACACTCTAATAGTGCTAATTTAAAAGCATTAGTTGACGAATTGTAAACCTTATTTACATATAATGACAGATAAGCAAAGGGATTTAAAACCAAGAGAGGCAGTTGGCAGTCGAGGGGAAGGTCGTGGTCGTCGAATTTGTGTTTATGGGGTGAAATACCTACAGACGATCTTGGTAGCTTACTGGAACTCGAAATAAGGACCAAACTTCCAATTCGTCTTCTGAAACTATTACCCTGGAAGTCACATAACCGAACAACTACGAAAAAAAGACGAATCCTATAGTTTTCTGTGTGATCTGGCATCCCCATAGGTCTGCTCTCTATGGAGACAGTTCGGCTCGAAGCATCATTGTGAGAGGGTGGGTTAGTGTTGACTCTTGGAAATTACGAGATGAAAAAGGCCGTAATGAGCTGTAAGAACTACAAGGAAAGATGGAAGACCATCTGTTAAGGTCATTGCGATAAATGACGTAGATTTCAGTGCGTCTTGTCTCTGATGTCAGCGGATGGCTGGTCAAGGAGCAATAGTCGGATTGTAAGTATTTTTACTGAATCAGAATCGGTGTTTGATTTAAGCCCTTTGTCATGCTTACATTACAGGATAGTGAACAAAGAAGGGAACCACGCCTCAGAGACAGGGGATGGGACGAAACAGTGTTAGACGAAACAAAACAAAACAAAAAAAACTTTTGCATTGATAAAATCACTTGATCACTTATCGAGACGTATATCATCTATTAAAAAAAACGTGATAAGTCTCTTGGATGATGATTATATGAATGAATATATAAGTAGTGATGGCATGTATAAAGATAAGAATAAAACCGATTCATTGCAAGGTTTCTCAAGGACTCGTGATAAATATTGGGGAACAAAACAAAAAAGAAACTATTTTTACATCAATAAAATCACTTGATCTACGTTGATTCGAGACATATATTAAATAATTGCGTAAATAACCATTAACCGAATTAAGAACGAGAATAAATTAATAATAAAGATAACAGTTAGTGCCAGTGGGGCCAAACACAAAAGTTCTTTGTACCATCACGTTATCAGTTGACTCGCTCACACTGCCAACCTTACTTCCAAGATTATCTTACAACGGCGTAGTTATTACCAGAAACACTTTTCTCATTTGCGTGTAGTACCGCCATTTCTTTTTTTTCTGAGATGTGCCTTTTAAAGTGGCATTCCAAGCCTTGAATTACGTTACCTTAAGCAACATTTAATCACATGACCATAACAATATTAAAATGATAATGATAGTGGTAACAATGGCAGTAACAGTAATAATAACAATGATGACAATGATAATAGTAATAAAATATACATATAGAAATATATAAATTTATGTATAATAAATTTTTTGAATAAGGAAAGTAGTATGAGAGAAAAGAGCATGAAATCCTGAATCCTGTGGATACATTCAAACGCGTGGCTTTTTCCCGCCAACAAGCGACGAGCGGGAAGCGCAGCCACAAACCTTAGCGTAGCGACCATTGCACAAACACAGGACTTCATGCTCGCTTTACGAAGGACAATTTCCCCGTGTCACCGCCTCTTCTGGTCGAGAAATTGCCATGAATAAGAAGGGAATACGCAAAGGTAAGATGACGCTGATGACAGGCTGTTAAAGAGACGGTTATCGCTTAGTGGAAGGAAAGTGCTCGGTTTAGCTGTTTCAGCTACACGCAGCCGTAATGGCCGCTGCGTCTCCGCTACGCCGCCGCCGCCACTACCGCTCGGCCTTTGGTAGCGGTAGCGGCGGCGGCGCGGGGCAGCGGGATGATGGATGCAGTGCACGTATGGATGTGTATATATATCCGTATGTGCATGTATGTGTGTATATAGTGTTTGTATATATACATACAAACACCTACATATATATACACATATATTAAATACATACATACATACACACACACACAACACACACACACACACACACAAATGCTATATTATATATATATATAATATTAATCATAAATAATTATATATATAAATAAACTAATGATACTATATATTAACACCTTATCACCGATATACAAGCATATTAACATTTAGTCCTATATCACTATAAAACGCAGCATATATAGCATATATACATTATGTTTTCTATATATACACGTATACCACGCTTATACATAAAGCATACATATACATTTATACAATATACATACACATTACACATACACATCACACATACCCACATACACATACCACATACCATATATATATATTAATATATAATATATTATATAATAAATATATTATATAAATATCACCATACATAGTATATGTACAATTATATACATATAGATACGTGATACATATATATCACCATATATATAATGTTATATATATTAGTTGCCGTGATACACCTACATAATATACACGCTTACTTGGATATCATATATTAACAAATATATATACTGCATATATATACACACTATGGTGTGTCGCGCTATACATATATATATAGCATAAATATATGATAAATACATATTATAATATGTTATATATATACATTATATTCAATACACGTAATATATACAGTATATGTATACAATATATAGTTCATCATAATATATAAACATATGATATTCATATACTATACATACTCATAATACATATATATACATATATCACTAATCCATCCAATATAATACCATATGTGCTTGCTATTATATGCTATGATATATGCTATATATATATGTAATGTATCTATATGTACTATATGTGACTTATAAATGTAATACTATGATTGTATCATATATATTAGTTGCTATTTATATATATATTATATATATGTGATATATATTGTTGTATATATAGGTTATATAATGTATATTAATATATATGTATATACTATGTATATATAGTAATGTAATATGCCTATACTATATATAAAATATAATATATATGTATAATATGTATATAAATATGTATATTATAGTCATATATGATATGTATATATATAAATATAAAATAATGTATATGTAAATGACTATATAGAAATATTATATAATGTATATATGATATAATATGTTATAAATATATATATCATTAGTATGGTATGTATATGTATATGTACCTATATAAAATATACATATATATACTATATATTATAAATATCATGTATATATATTCAATATGTGATATATATAATGTGTATCTGATATATGTATATATATAAATATATTATATATTAATCGTATATGTATTGTATGCCATATATATATATAATTATGATATTATTTATATAATATGCTGCTGTGTGTGTGTGTCTCGTGTGTGGTTGTGTGTGTCGTGTTGTGTGTGTGTTTTTGGTGGTTGTATCTATATCGTATAAATCTGTAATCCTATATTGTTTGTATGTATATGTATGATGCATATGTATATGTAAATTAGGTAGTATATATATAATATATTATATATAATATAAATATATATATAATAATCATGGGTTGTGTTGTGTGTTGTGTGTGTGTGTGCGTGTTGTGGTGATGTATGTATACTGTATACTATATGTATATAATATATGTATTATATAATGCTATATATATATTATGTATATAGATATAGTATATGTCATATATAATGTATCATTTAGTATATGCTATTATATATAGTATATATATATGTATATATATGTATAAAATATAATTGTTATATATTTACACTATATTTATACTATACATAATCTACTACTAATATATATATACTATTATAACCTGATATATATGTATATATATGTATATATACTCTTACAATATGTATATCATTATAGATATTATATCAGTATATACTATATATATAACTAAATATATTTTGTATTCTATATGTTATTATTACACACACCCCACATCACTCTACAACACACCACACACACACACACACACACACACCACACGTACAACACACACCACCATAATATTAATATATCTATTATATAATATAATATATATATATATAATATCTACATACATTATATATACATAATATTAGTATACATATATATATATTTCATATTATATATAATATATTTAATACATATTAAATATTATTATATAGTATTAGTGTATAATATATATATATATATTATATATAGTACACACACACACACAGTACAAACACGACACACTACGACACATTAGTATATATATTATATATAATGATATTACTTATATTAGCATATATATATATATATAATCATATACTACTATATACATATAATATCACATACGTATATGTATATATAATATTTATTATAAATTTAATATCATGTATTTATATATAGTATATATAATTAACATTAATGAATATATATGAATATATGATTATCTATATATATCTTATGAATATATAGTGTATTTATGATTGTGGATATATATGATAAGGTATATATATGATATATAATTGTATATATGTTATTTAATACATATATATGATTTGTATATTTATTACACACACACCACAACACACCACACAGCATCACACACAGTCGTACCTCAAGTAGTATATAATATCTAATATAACTATATTATCATATCATCATATAATAATATTTATTATATATTACTTGAACATATTAATTATGATTATATATGTATAATATGTATATATATGTATATACTTATAATGTATATTTGATGTATATATAGTACATATTATGTAATATATATATATATATGATATATATATTATTTATATATATGTATATATGATGGTTCGTATAAATATATGTATGTCATAACTATATGTATATTATTTATATTAATATGCATCCGATATACACTATATAATGTATACCTATAGCATCTCATATAATGTATTTATATATATGTATATGTGGATCATAATTGATCGTATTAGTATATGTATATATGATATAGTAGAATATATATATGTTATTATACTATTTTATAAATCAGAATATATATGTAAATATATGTATCATATATATTATCTATATATACTATATATATATAACATATGTATCATACAATATATGTATAGATTTATACATTTATATATACACAATACTATATATACATATATATATTATATGTATACTTATATATGTAATATACTATGTTTATTATATGTGTATTATTATAACTGAATATATGATATTTGGTATATATTTAATCTTATATGAATATATTATTTATTATATGTGCTATATTATGATGGTTATATATATATGTATTTTATAATATTGTATATATATGCGATATATATGTATTTATATATATGTATAATTAATTATGTATAATAAATATGTACCTATGCTAGTATGTATAATTACTATATTATATATCATGTATATATATGTCATACTATATATTTGATTATATTATATTGCTATTATATATTGTATATATTATACTACTCGTAATATATCATAACCAAAAACACTATCTTATACTATATACAAATCATTATATTCATACACACATAATACATATCACAATACTATATATATTACTATTTATACTATATATACAATGTATATATATATATATTGTAATATACCACGAATATATAACACTATTTAATTATAATCAGTAATTATATACCTATATATAAATCAGTTATATATCATCATAATCCTTACCTCATATCACTATACATGTATTATGTAGTGCTATTAGTGAATATACAGATGTATATATTATATCAGCTAAATACATATATATACCTACTAACTATAAATATCAGACCTATAATATACATACATATTATATAATATTACTCTACTATATTTATATTAATCATCATATATTCATATATAAAACAAATATATAATACCTATACTATATACATATATTATATATTAGATATAGAATTACTACCTAACATATCATCATTCATACTAATATATACTATACACTATCAATCAATATAATAATACATACTACGCCATGCATATATACACTATATGTATCATATTTAATATATATTATAGCAAAATATATACTTGTAGTACATACTATATACAAATATGATATATTACATTTATATATTAATTATATATATAATATTACCATATAATACTATAGTATTAAATATACAATGAATACATTATATATACTACACACACACACACAATATATACTATAATATAACGTTATCGATATATTACTATATCAATATATATTTATATCAACTACGTTCATCATACTATAATGTAACTACCATACACCATAAGTGTATACTAGTATATGATACAAATTATATCTAATATATATATACATATATATACATATATAACATCAGTATATAATATATACATGGTTGACTTTAAGTGATTAGTATTATGTGTCGTGCTATACTATGTATATTATATAAGTGTATATTTTATGCTGTCATTTATACCCACACACCACACACACATCTCTCACACAGCGACACAGCTCAGCACACGATCACGTTACGTACACACCACACACATCGACAGCACACATACACACCACGTATATATATAGTATATATTATGTATATATATAACGTATAATTATCATCTGGTGAGTATATATATATATATATTATACTAATCAACCTTTTCATGTGCACGTACAGTATTTATCTCATCAACTACA